CTATAAAATCAAAACCAAATTGGGCAGTGGTGCTGTATGTTCTTGATCCCAGCACTTGTGAGGCAAAGAAAGCCCAGCCTGGTCTACAGAGGGAGGTCCAGGACAGCCAGGGCTACACAGAGAAACCATATCTTGAAAACAAAACAAAACAAAACAAAAACAGAGGAAGGCTGGAGAGGTGGTTCTGCATCTGGGATTGGTTTTCAGCACCCAGAACCAGTTCTGGAAAATCTGACATTCTATTCAGGTCTGGGAAGGCACCACACACACACATAGTACACATACATGCATGCAGGCCAAACACACATACAAATAAAAAAGTAAATGTAAAACAAAACAAAATGGGGGGGGGGAATCAAACAATCTGCCTGGGTGTGGCACCACATACACAGAATGCCAGGACTTTCCGGGTGCAGAGGATGATCAACAGTTCAAGGTCAGTCATCCTTTGCTACAAACACTCCAGAGGCAGAGGCAGGTGGATATCTGTGAGTTCAAGGCCAGCCTGGTCTACATAATCAGTTTCAGGACATCTAGGGCTATGTAGAAAAACCCTGTTTCTTTTTCTTTTTTAAAATTTATTTTTGTCATTTTAACTATTCGTATGCGTGCAGATAGACGCACATGAGGGCAGGTGCCCACAAACATCTCAGAGCCTCCTGGGATTACAGGCAGTTGTAAGCCACATGGTCTGAGTGCTGGATAGCAAACTCAAGTCCTCAGGAAGAGCAGAATGTGCTCTTAACCACTGAGACATCTTTCTAGCCTGAAAGACCCTGTTTTGTTTTTTTTTTTTTTTGTTGTTGTTGTTTTGTTTTTTGTTTTTTGTTTTTTTTTTTTTTAAAGAAAAACAAAACTGAGTTCAAGGTCAGACTGGGCAAGGTAGCTCACACTTTTATTCCCAGTACAAAAGGGAGACAAAGGCAGATGGATCTCTGTGAGTTCAAGGGCAACCTGGTCTACACAGTGAGTTCCAGGACAGTCTGGAGTACATGGGGAAACCCTGGTTGGGGAAAGAAAGGGTGGGGCAGTTGCGCCTGGAGAGATGAGTCAGAGGTTGAGCGCTCTGCTGCTCTCGGACTCAGGCTTATTTCTGCGCACCCACAGCAGGAGGTTTTCAAGTATCTGTGATTCCAGCTCCAGGGACCTGATGTCCTCTTGTGTTTGTGAGAATCGGGCAAGCATGTGACACACATATGTACATGCACACACACACATGACATACAGAGTAAATCTTTTTTGGCCTGGGTGGAGGTGGCCCATTCCTTTAACCCCAGCAGTCGGAAGGCAGAGGCAGATTGATTTGTGTTCTAGGCCAGCCTGGTCTGCATCGTGAGTTCCGGGTCAGCCCAGGGCTACACAATGATACCCCGTCTTAAAAACAAAACAACAAAACAAAACAAAAAAGGATTATTCAGTCCCAAGTATCAATACTGAAGAATTGAGAAATTTTCATTTTATTCTTTTGTTTTACACCCCCCTCCCCGCCAACACACATACCAAAATTCAAGTTACTGGCCAGGCAATGGTGACAGACACCTTTAATTATAGCACTGAGAGGCAGAGGCAAGCGAATCTGTGAACTTGAGGCCAGCCTGGTCTGTAGAGTGAGTTCCAGGATGGCCAGGTCTAAACAGAAAAACCCTGACTCCAAACAAAACAAAACAAAACAAAACAAAATTCAATTAACTTTGTTTCTTTTTAATGTTTAGCTTTTTGAGACATAGTCTTCTCAGACTTGAACTCATGCTAATCTTCCTACTTCAGCCTTTCAAATTCTGGAATTACAAGCAGGTGTCACCGTGCTCGGTTCATACTTTTTATTTGATCAGTCTCACTTGCATTTTTTAAAAATAATTACATATATTTATTTATGTTTGCCTGCACATATGTGTAGCATGGAGTCCTGAAAAAGCCTTCAGTCCCTTGGACTTACAGACTTACAGACTGGTGAACCACCCCTGGATGCTAAAAATTGATCCTGTGTCCTCTGCAAAAGTAGCAAGTGCTTCTAACTTCTGAGCTGTGTCTCCAGCCATTTGTTCACTTATTTCTATGTGTGAGTGTATGTCAGCCTCACTTACAAATGGTGATCTCCATGCCAGTGAGAGAACATGAATCAAGGGAATAAGGCAGAGAGACATTGACAGAGTAGGACCCAATGTCCTCCTCCAGCCTCTGCACCAGTATAAATGAATGGCTACCAGTACCTGTACACACACACACACACACACACACACACAGAGTCATACCTCCCCTCACTCCTCCACCCTCAAAACCAAAAGAGTTCTAGAGTCAGGCATAGTAGATTATATCTGCAAAATAAATACTTGGCGGGCTGAGGCAGGTGCACACTGTGAGCTTGAAGCCCGTCTGGGTTACATAGGGAGGGCTGGGCTAATGATTGCTGTCTTACCATCTTTTGCTGTAAATTATGCTACTGGTGTCATAGGGACATTTTTGACCTGGAGACAGGGTCTCTGATATAGCCCAGAGGTCCTTCTGCCTCAGAGATCCTCACACACTGGGATTATAAACAGGAGCTACCATGCTCAGCTAATAATTATTTTTACTTGGAAAATGTTAGTATTTTTTACCACTTAAAAAAATATTGTCACCAGGTATGGTGGCACACACCTTTAATCCCAGCACTAGAGAAGGCAGAGGCGGGTGGATGTCAGTGAGTTAGTGGCCAGCCTGGTCTACAAAGCAAGTCCAGGACAGCCAGGGCTCTGTTACACAGAGAAACCTTGACTGTCTGTCTGTCTCTCTTTTCAAGATAGGGTTCCTCTTGTAGTCCTGGCTGTCCTGGATTCACTCTGTAGAGCAGGCTGGTCTTGAGCTCACAGAGATCTGCCTACTTCTGCCTCCTGAGTGCTGGGATGCCTGGCCGAAAAAACTGTCTCTGACATTTTGGTTTATGATACGTAAACATATTTTTGTTATAATTTCAAGTTGGGGGATTTTAGTTTGTCCACACCTGTTAAGTGTCTCGTGCAGATCGTGGTCTTTGCCAGATGGAATTAGTTGAAGCCTAAGGACTTTGGGGGGTATAAATATGATAGTCCTGAGGAAGAGGGCACGGCTGCTTGGAGGAGGGCTGATTGCTGCTGGTTCGTCCTGCTGCTGCATTTGCTGTTTGCTGACTTGCTGGTTACCTGCATTTCTGGATTTCTTGATACTGGTATTGCCTGATATTGGTGTTGACTGATATCGGTATTTCCCCCAAAAGAATCCTACTGCCTTCCCTATCGGGAAGTAGCAAAGAGAACTCCACCCCCTGTCCCTACTAATCTTCTATCCTTTCTACCTGGTGTTGGGGGGTTAGAAGGGAGGTAGAAATGGTTAAGAACCCTAAATATAGTAGGTTTGATTAAAAAAGAAAAAAACTAGTTAATAACCCATTAATCCCAGCACTTGGGAGGCAGAGGCCCATCTCAAAACAAGCAAACCAAAAAACACTATGGGGGAGAGAGGAGTTAGAGAGATGACTCGGCAATGGCAATTAAGAGCACTGACTGCTCTTCCAGAGGACCTGGGTTCAATTACACACAGACAAAACACCAAAGAACAAAGAAAAATAAATTTTAAGTAAGTAAGTAAATATTATTACTGAATAGGTGGTGTGGGCATTAATCCCAGCACTTCAGGAAGGAGGCACAGGCAGGTGGATCTCTGTGAGTTCAAGGCTAGCCTGGTCCACAGAGTGAGCTCCAGGATGGTTAAGGTCTTGAAAAATCAAAATAAAATAGAATGTCCCTCCCCCCCCATTGTTAAGCATGGTGTTACCTTTAATTCCAGCACTAGGGAGGCAGAGACAGGCTGATCTCTGTGAGTTCAAGCAAGGCCAGCCTGGTCTGCAGAGTAAGCTCCTGTCTCAAAAAAAAAAAAAAAAGTAGCTATTTTTACTTCATAAATATACTGTTGTTGTCACTGATTATAATGCCACTGTGAAAGTTTTAGGAAAGGCAGGAAGATATAAGATCACTTATGCTTCGTGTGACTCTACAGTAAATTTAAGCTTCTGAAGTATTTTATTGTATGTATACTCATGTTTTACCTGCATGCATATCTGCATGTCTTCGTTTCACATGTGTGCCTGGTGCCCACAGAGGCCAGAGAGAACGTCGGGTCTCCTGAGACTTTTGTTTGACATGGATGTGCGTGCTTGAATGGAACCAGGGTCCCGTGGAGGAACAGCAAGGGTTCTTAAGCACCTAGCCAACACTCCAGTCCCCTAAACTTTGTATTGCTGTTTTCAGTGATAAGGATTTAAATAAAAAATTGACGACAAAAGGATTTCCTTAACATCTTGGAGGTTTTGTTTGTTGAGACTGGGTCTCATTTAGTCCTGATGTGAGCGCTTCCTTGCTATATAGCTAACGCTGGTCCTGAACTCCCGATTTTCCAGTCTCCACTTCCCAAGTGCTGCGATTGCTGGTTTGTGCCCTACTTCCAAGCTTATGTATGACCTCGAATTTAAGGAATTTCAGAATAATCCCAGGGAAAGGAAAGTTGCCAGTCTTGTAAACGGTTAAGTCGCGTTGTTTTGGGGTGGGAATGTCCGTGACTAATTCCAAAATAGGCACGTTATACACGTCGGAGTTCGGAAAAGGGACTGCGAATATTAACAGATCAGGAGGGAGGGACCACAGCCACTGTTAAGAGGTAAGACGGGCTTCCTGAGGCCAAGAAGCTTCCACAGTAAGAACAGATGCAGCAGCCCGCACCTGCGCACGCGCACATCCTCCCACCCGCCGCCTCTGGCTATCTCTCTGGGCCTTCCTCCTGCCTGGTGTGGGAGTGTCCGCGGCGCCGCCTGATCTAGTGGGAACATTCCGTGAGGCCAAATGGCCCCTGGCGCCGTTTTCCCTGAGGTGTTGTCTAGACTGTGACGGAGGGACACGAGTGGAGGTCTGCAGAGGGGGTCGTGGCTGAGATCGCTGGCCCTGCGGCATTTAGCTGTGCAGGCGCTGCGTAAGCCGCCCTGTACGGGTCCTCTTTGGCAGCTGGCTGCGAGCGGGAGGCCTGAGCGGAGAGCATCAGCGGCGCGGCAAGGTCCCGGCAGCAGGGCACGGCGCTATGGAGGAGCTCGATTGCGAGCCCGCAGTAACTGTAAGGGCGCCCCGGAGAGGCTTGCGTGGTCGCTTGTGGAGACCGCGGAGACCGCGTGGCCTTGGTCACTTCAGGCTTGCCTCCCTAGCTGCGGGACGCACGCTTCTTTCTTGCACTCAGTTGCTACCATCCGGGATGTCAGCTTAACTGGCTGCTAGGTTAGGGCGGTGGTGGTCCCTAGGCTTCAGGTCCTGTGAATACTCACCGGGTCGCAGAGACCCTTCTGCACCCCTTTCATCCCTTGTCTTTTTCATCTTTCTGCCTCTCTAGTTTCCCCCCTTGGTCGTTCGAGTGGCCTCGGTGTGAAGCCTCACATCATCCCTCTGAGAGCTTAGTGAGCTTCTGCTGTCCAGGCCCGAGGCTTAATAAACACGTTATTTATTATCTCGGGAGACTATGGACTACCTGTTTCTGTCGCTTTGTAGTCTTTTCGCTTGGACTTAGGAAATATTTTAAGTTATGTGTAGTATTTGGATATGAGCATAGAGGCATCGGATACCACCTGAACTGGAGTTCCAGGTGATTGTTAGCTGCTTTAGGTAGGTGCTGGGAACCGAACTCCGGCCCTTTCCAAGAGCATTAAGCACACCTTAACTTCTGGACCCTCTCCCCAGCACCTCCACTTGCATTTTTCAGGACTGTATATCAGGTGTGGATGATCTGTGATGAATTCAGAGCCAGGTGTTTGATACCTGTCTCTAAGCCCAGCGCTTTGGAGGCTGGGGGCTCAGCAGTTGAGACTAGCCTGGTTTAGGTTGCAGGACCGTTCTCGAAAAGCGAGGGAGTAACCCCAGCACTTGGGAGGTGGATGCCAGAGTAGCAGAAGTTCAAGGACAGCCTTGTTACCTCAGCCCTTGTTTACAAAAAACAAACAAAAAAGAAAAATTGGGAGCAGATGGGACTTGTGAATAAATTATCTCTTAGGGGAATTTTTTTCTTTTCTTGTTATTGGGTTTAGCTCTGTAGGTCAGAAAGCCTATAGCCACATGGTTTGTACAATTGGATATGAGCCTGGACTCGAAAGGATCGGTCTAAACTGGAGAGAGACATTTAGACTCATGAACAGAGGTGACACAGGCTGATGAGAGTGTTTCTGTTAAGTAATTAAGTGTTTTTGTTTTTGTTTTCCTCTTTGGGTTGTGGGCTTGCCTTGAATTTAATGATCCCCCTATAACAGGCTCGTAAGTACTGGGGTTACAGCTGTGCTCTGCCACACTGGGCTTTTTTTTCTTCAACACTTGAGAATTGGCATGCTGGGTTGAGGTACCCATTCAAATACCCTTGCTTACATAATTAGTGCCCTACAGACTTGGCTGTCTTCAGCCATGCACATGTGAGCATTGTTTCCTGATGGATTTCTTCTTTTTAAAAAGTTTCATTTATTTATTTATTATTTTATTTATTTATTTAGAGAAAGGGTTTCTCTGTGTAGCCCTGGCTGGCCTAGGACCTGCCTCCCTGGTACTGTGATTAAAGGCCTGAGCCACCACTGCCCGCCCAGCACAACTATGGATTCCTGCAGTTATACTTGTGAGTTGAATGGGAAGAAAATTCTAGGAGTAACGGTTCCTGTGTTTTATTAGTGGATTCCAGGAGTGAATTCCAAGAAGAAGCAGATGTGTTTTGACTGGGGTCCTGGGGAGATGCTCCTGTGTGAGACTTCCTTCAACAAAAAAGGTAGAGCTTGCTCACTTTTGTCTTGTTTGTTGACTTTCTGGGTCAGGAAATTGAAGTTAATTGGCAACATTTTTTTTTTAACTGTTTGTTGTGGTTTTGAGAAGGGTTCCCCTGTGCAGTCCTAGTGAGTCCAGGTTTGTGCAGTTTTGCAGTGTAGCACAGAGTACATCTTCCTCCCTCAGCCTCCGAAGGGCTGGGATTTGAGGTGTGAACCTCCACACTTGACATTCAATTTTGGTTTGTTTTTTTTTTTTTACGTTTTACTCTCTGTGAGTCAGATCTGCTCGCTTTTGCTCCCTGAGTGCTGGGATTAAAGGCATGAAATTTCAGCTGGTGCTCTTAACCACCAAGCCCATCTCTTTAGCACCCTCTCTATAACTGACCTTTAGAAATGAGTCATACGGCCTAATGGTGGTGCCTTTAATCCCACCCAGCTCTTGGGATGTAGAGGCAGGTGAGTCTCTTGAGTTTGAAGCCAGCCTGGTCTACAGAGTGAGCTCAGGACAGCCAGTGCCACACAGAGAGACCCTGTCTCAAAAAAACAAAAGAAATGAGTCGTACTGTGTGGCCAGACTCTTGGGTTGAGTCAATACTAGAATTTCTACTATTCAATCCTAGAATTTCTACTATTTAGAATAGTAGGACTAGGATGGAGAGTTACAGGGTCACCTTCTCAGTACTGCCAGACCCATTCTCAAAATGCAAGAATACAGGATATTGTCACTCGGCAGCTCAGTGGGAAACTTTAGCATGTGAAGCTCCCTTAATTAGATCAACAGTCTCACCAAAAAGAGGAAACTGTTTTGTTGCCTGCTTGTAATTCTGAATACTTGGGGGACTGATGCTGTCGTAGAATTGCTAAGACCATTCTCAGCTATGGAGTGAGACCCCATCTCAACATGCCACACCTCTGAAAAAAAAAATTTTTTTTTTTTTTAAATGTAGCTTGTTTGGCTTTGTATGTGGACTCATTTACCCTTGAATTTGTAATCCTGCCTCAATCTTCCAAGTGCTGAGTATATAGGCATATGCCCCATGCGCAACCAGTTTGTTTTTAAAGATTTTATTTATTGGGCTGGAGAGCTGGCTCAGTGGTTAAGAGCACTGTCTGCTTTTCCAGAGGTCGTGAGTTCAGTTTCCAGCAACCACATGGTGGCTCACAACCTTCTATCCTCTTTTTACCGCCTGCCCTCTTCTGTCACGCAGGTACACATGTAGGTGAAGCGCTCACATACATTAAAAAAAAATTGTTTAAAAATAAAATCTTTGAAAAAAAAAAGATTTTATTTATGTATTGAGTGCTCTATCTGCATGTACACCTGCACGCTGGAGGAGTACATAAGGTTCCAGTATATAGGTTGTGAGCCACCGTGTGGTTGCTGGAAATTGAACTTGGGACCTCTGGAAGAGCAGAGCTTCTTACCAGCTGAGTCATCTCACCAGCCCTCAGCCAGCTTTCATAATTAAAGAATTAAAAATACTAAAACGTAGCCAGGTATGGTGGTGCATGTCTGTAATTTCAGCATTCTGGCAAGGGCAGGCATATCTCTGGGAGTTCAATGCCAGCTTGGTCTACAAAGCAAGTACAGGACAGCCAAGGCTACACAGAGAGAGATCCTGTATCAAAGAAAAAAACCAACAACAGTAACAACAAAATACTAGATGGAGTGTTTTCTCCTTTGGGAGAAATGATAGACGTTAAATTATTATTATTATTTTTGTCCTGTTACAGATAAATCTGAGAAGGTACCTAGCTGCCCCTTTATTTATATCATACGGAAAGATGTAGATGTTTACTCTCAAATTTTGAGAAAACTCTTCAATGAATCTCATGGAATCTTTGTTGGCCTGCAAAAAATTGAGGAAGAATTGACGGGAAAATCCAGGAAAGCTCAGTAAGTGCCGGTGGGTGTGAAGCCGCTATGAAGCTGTGAAAGGCATTCTTACCCCTGTGAGTGGCAGAAGACTCATGATTCTCTCACGTGTCTTCCCACAGCTACAGACTGTGTAAATACTGTTGGAAGACTTACTGGCTTGATAAGCTTTTGTTTTTAGATTTCTCCTTTATTTGTATGTGTCCCTTAAACACCACTACCACCCAAAATAAAATAGAAGGGAGCCTAGGCCAAATAAGCCTTTGAGTTAGATCTCATTTTTGGGAGATTTGAAAATGAGGCAGGTGGATCTTTTAGAGCTAGTGGCCAGCCTGGTCTGCATAGTGAGCCCTAGGCCAGCCAGAGCTACAAAGCAAGACCTTGCCTCCAACACGGAAGAATTGTGTATGAGAGGTCAGCAAACAAGGCAAAAGAAGAATTGCTTCTGGAGCTTTTGTTTTTGACGGGGACTTGGAAAGCTGTTGTGCTCTGTGGATCAGGCTTTGTTTTCTCTTTTCTTCCTTTTGAGGCGGCAGGGATGGAGCCTCCTTTGTGAATACTCGGCTGCTGAGCGTATCCCTGGGCAAGCCCTCCAGGCTAGGCTTTGTTTTCTTCCTTTTCAATTGTTCTGGTGTGTCATGTAGCTCACATGACAGTGTGCTTGCTAAGTAGATGAGGATGAAGCTGGGTTCATCCGTTGTAGGCAAGCAGTCTCCTGACTCGGCTACGTCCCTAGGCCTTTCTTTCTCCTTTTTTCTATTCCTGGGTACACGGTCTAGTGCAGCCCAGGCTGTGTGTATGCACATATGTGTGTATTTTTGACCTTGTCCTCTTGCCACCTCTCATGTTCAGGGTTATCAACATGGGCCACCAAGCAGGGCTGTCTGTGTTGATGTGGGACAAGCACTGTATCAGTTTAGCAGGAATTGATTAGTGCACATTGGTGCAGGTACCTGTGGAACCAGAAGAGGGCATCGGCCCTCGGAAACAGTTACAGGCCGTTGGGAGCCATCTGATATTGGTTCCTGGGAGCCAAATTTAGGTCCTGGCAACTGAACTCTGGTCCTTTCTAACCGTATTATGCTCTCTTAACTATTGTGCCAAATCTCCAGTCCTTATTTGCTTATTTACTTACTTGGTGTGCTTACGTGAGTTTATATGTAATGGAGGCCAAAGTACTTCAGAGCTCCTGGAATTGGACTTGCAGATTGATGTGAGCCCTCTGATGTGGGTGTTGGGAACCAAACATGGGGTTTTCTGCAAGAGCAGTTCAGCCGCCTCCTGTCTTTTGATTCCTCTCTTTCTGGCATCAAGATATGTTCCCATTGAGCTTGGAAGATGGCTCAGTGGATCAGAGTACTCACTACTCTTGCAGAGGACCCAGGTTCTAGTCCAGCACCACATGGTGGCTCACAACCCCTTGTAATTCCAATTCTTAGAGGACCTGATGGCCCCTTTGGGCCTCTGAGGGCACAGGGTATGTCCATGGTGCATATGCAGGGTTAAAATCCATACACGTAAGTAAAATTAAAAAAGGTACGTTCCCATGTCATTTTGTATGTCATTCCTTTTTTTTTTTTGTAGACTGGTTCGCGTGAGTAAAAATTACCGATCAGTCATCCGGGCCTGTATGGAAGAAATGCACCAGGTTGCAGGTAAGGACCTTATGTATATTTGAAGTATCTGGTACTGTTTTCTCCAGAGGCCTTTAAGGAGGTTGCTTTGCAGTTCATACTAGGGCCTTGTTTTGATAAGATGCATTAGTATTTTCAAAGAAAAATGGGTGGGTGCTGAAGGAAACAAACACATGAGCTGTGTGGGGTTTCTGAGAGCAGAGTGGATGGAATACAGTCAATGCAGGTTGATTTACTTAAGATGTTTTTGTATTCTGCTAGTTGCTTCTAAAGATCCAGCCAGTGGCCAGCAGTTCAGCAGCCAGGTAAGGGGTAGCTATTTCATCGCATTGGCAACATTGTGTCTTTCTGTGTCCTTAGTGCCTAGGGTGGCTTTGTGGTCACTGATGCGGGAGGTTTCACCTTTCCTGGTAGACCAGCAGCTCTTTGGGATGGCAAGCATGGTTTTGAAAGCCCTGGTGTGGTAGTTCCTTAAGGTCTAGCCCACTGGAACACAGGATCTACTTGATAAATACTGAGTTTTCATTTCTTGTGGAAAAGTGAGTTCTAAATGCATGGTGTTTGTGAATTGTCGTTTAAGATGGAGGGTTGAGCTTTTGGAACTACTGCTTAGGCTCATGAACTCGCTGTCTTTGCTGAGCAGCAAGATTATAATTGAGTAGGACCAGAAGGTGCAACAGAAGACTCTCCTTCCTTTGTAGGCCCCAGTGTTTCTGTGACTGATGCGCAGGGAAAATATACTGTCCCTGACTGGTACAATGTGTGTTTTCCCCTGTGAACAGGATGATGGTGACTGAACAGGACAGTGAGATGGGGGTGGCTGGGGCAGGTGCTTCGTCTTCCTAAAGATAGGCTCCAGGTCTCCTTTATCTCATGTGGGAGAGTCTTCTATCAGCTTTGCTCTTTCAATTTTTGCAGTGCCCGCTCTCAATCCCAGTATCATAGGTGTGCTAAGTATGTGCGCTGTTGCTGAGCTGTACCCTCGGCCTACAGGTCCCCTTTTTTGTTCCCTTTTACTGTGTGTGTGTTTACTGAGTGTATGCTTTTGTTGTATACGTTGAGTGCACCTGTGTGTGCGTGTGGAGGACTGAAGATGCTGAGTGTCTATTCCTTCTGCTTAGTCTGTGTCTTAAACCTGGGGCTTGTGTTTTCTTGGCTACGCTAGAAGCCAGCAAGTCCCAGTGAACCTTCTTCGTTCCCCTAGTAGCTGAAGTTACAGATGGCTCGGGTCTCCAACTTTTTACTTGTGTGCGGGGATCCAAACTCTGTTCCTCATGTTTGCACACCACAGTCTCTTAAGGGAGGAGCAATCTCTCCTACTGGCCATGAACTTGTTTTGCTCTCTTCTGTTGTAGATGCCTCAATATTGGGTTTACAGCATGAGCTACCATGCCTGGCCCTGGACTTTATATCTTTTTAGGTTTAATTTTTATTTATGTGTATGAATATTTGCCTGCATGTGTGTTTGTGTGCTGTGTGCATGCAGTCCCCACAGAGGTCAGAAGCAGGTGTCGGGGCCTTTGGAACTAGAGTTACAGGTAGTTGTTGGCTACCATTTGGGTGCTGGGAATCAAACCAAGGCTTTTTGCAAGAGCAGCCAGTGCTCTGCACTGCTGAGATCTTCAGCCTCTGGACTCAGCCGTTAACAGCCCATTTCTTAAACTTGAGTTCTTGGCATCTATGTGTCGGTGGGTCTATACCCACCACCATATTCCTTTCTTCCTCTCTCTGTCTGTCATGATTCAGGCTGGCCTGAAAGTCCTGTTTCCCCCAACCATCACTCTCCAAGTCCTCGGGTCATAGGCCCAGGCGGGCATGGAGCTCCTGCCGCCCCTGCCTAGGTCTCCTCTGAGTGGCAGGTTTCAGGTGCGCCATTGCCCTGCCTCCGGCTTTGCAATTTGATTTTCCTTTTAATTTATTGACAGAATTTCTCAAAATTATTTCTTTTGCTCATATAAGGTTCTTTCTTGAACCAATCAAGAGCATCAGTGTGCTATGCTAGTTTACTTTTCTAATTCACATTAAAATAAAATCACCAGTATGAAAATTATGAAAGTTTTTATCCCCTCCTGGGCTACCTGGTGAGAAATCCTGCCATAGGCATATCCGTGAGTCAGGGTTTGTGACTCAGGCTCTACTATATTTCTTCTCTTTGATTTCAGCAATATTTTCAGTTAAAACTTGTCTTGTCTCTATTTCTCCCTTAGGTCTCCATTTTGTCAGCCATGGAGCTCATTTGGAACTTATGTGAGATTCTTTTTATTGAAGTAGCTCCAGGTAAGCCCACATTGTCTGTCTGTCTGATGTAGCCCCAGTTAGCCCAGGCTAACCTTGTTGTAACATTGCAGGGTCCCTATCATCCTGTGTCTTCCAGGCGGGTTTTCTGCTTTAACATCAGTGTCTGTACCTTGGGGGGGGTGGGACCTACTGCAGATGAAGCTGGGGTCCCTGTGTGACGTGAGTCTCTCCTCTCAGCTGGCCCTCTCCTTCTCCATCTTCTTGACTGGGTCCGACTGCATGTGTGCGAGGTGGACAGTTTGTCAGCAGATGTTCTGGGCAGTGAGAACCCAAGCAAACACGAGAGCTTCTGGAACTTGGTGAGTGTGATGTTGGCTGGGCCCTTTTCCCTTTGCCATGCATTCTGTGTCCTGCCGTCCAGGCCTCAGGATGGTCTACTGCTTCAGGCCTTGGCTCAGTTCTTTGAGTTTATGATCATAGAGGGGTTTTTTGCATCTTTACTTCTCAGCTCCAGAGCAGTTTAAAACTAATTTAGAGAGTACACTTGGTAAACTTGCCATAAGAGGAAGCTTGATTTGTTTGTAGCTCTGAGAAGTAGGAAGATAGTCAAAGTGGTTGGTTGATGGGGGAGATAAGATGGGGCTGGAGTGCAGTGAATACAAGTGGTCATTTTGAGGTAGGAGAATACTCTAGGGAAGCCCTTCTCAACCTGTGGGTCAACAGGGGTTGCATAGCAGATATCCTGATTACCAGAGATTTACATTATGATTGATGACAATAGCAAAATTATATTTATGAAGTAGCAGTGAAATGATTTTTATAGGTGGGGTCACCACAACATGAGGAACTGTATTAAAAGGGTCTCCGTGTTAGGAAGCTTGAGAACCACTGATTGATCAGGGTTCGTGCTAGAAGAGGGCTTCAGATCACATTACAGATGGTTGTGAGCTGCCATGTGGTTGCTGGGAATTGAACACAGGACCTTTGGAAGAGCAGAGTGCTCTTAACTGCTGAACCATCTCTCCAGCCCCTGTAAAGGGAACTTTTGTTCACCTGTTTCAACTGTTGTCTCGGAGACCTACTGCCTCTGTCTGCTAACCTAGGCCTAGTCCTGGAAGCTTCTAGCCTCTGTACAATCTAACCTAGGCCTAGAACATTTTCAGCCTCTTGAGAGTTACTGCTTAATAAGCTCACCCTTCCTTGTACTTTCTGAGCTCAAAGCTGACTGTTTCAACTCAGCTGTTCCGGCTCAAACTCTTCTCCCAGGTAACTTACTCAATCTGCCTTTATTTTGGCCTCTGAATTGCTCTGCTTAGCCTCAAACTAGCTCCAGCAATTTTTTTCTAATCTTCTGGCTTCTTGTCATTCTCTAGCTCTTTCTGTACTCATCTGTGTTCTCTCTGCAACCTTTCTATTATTGTCCTGATAAAACAGCTCGCTCTCTCTCCCTCTCTCCTTTTCCCTCTTTCCCTCCACCCTCCTCTCTCCTTGCTCTCTCCTCTCTATCTTAGCGAGCTTCCTTTCCTCTTCTCGTGAGAGTTGGGTATATCCCTTTCTGTCAAGTCTTTTCTGATTCGTCACCTTTTCTGCCACTCAATTAAACATAATTTCCTTCATTGTTTGGGATTAAAGGTGTGTACCACCATGCCTGGACCTAAGCCTTTCTTTACCTGAAACTTGCTCTTTACCAGGCTGCCTTGAACCTCAGATCTGCTTGCCTCTCTCTCCTGGATTAAAGGTGTTTGTTTTCCAGATGGATCACACAGTCTAGAAGGTGTTTGGATGTGGTCTCTTGCCAGAACAGCCATGTTCTGAGTTAACATTCCTCTGCATGTTTGAGCTAGCCTGGTGTACAAAGTTCATTCCAGGATAGCCAGGGCTATACAGAGAAACCTTTGGAAAACCAACCAACCAAAAAAGATGAATGTATTTTTACATTGTATGAGTATATGTGTGTTATATATGTGACCCATATGTGTGCTTGGTGGTTATTGGGGCCAAAGAGGGTGTCAGATCCGTGGAATTGAGGTTGTGGGTTGTGAACTGCCAGGAGGGGCTGAACGTTGCACTTCTTTCAGGGCGCAGAGTGCACGGAGCTGATAAGCCATCTGCTCAGCCCCTGGTGGTTGTTTTTGAGACAGGATCTCATTCTGCCTACAAGCGTTTGCCACCATTTGCTGTTTTATGGCGTGCTGGGGATGGCCAGAACCCGGTGGATGCAACCCTGTGGCTGGAACCACGTGACAGTACCTAACTCCTGAGTACTGTCCGCCCATTCTGGGCTTACGCCTGTTGCCCCACATCTGCCCTGTTTACATGCTTTTCCAGCTAGAACTCGGGTCCTGGTGCTTGCAAGAGGAATGCTCTCCTGACTGAGCTCTCCCCAGCCCTGATTTCTTCTTTTCCATGTAAAACATTTTTGGCAGTTCCATATGTGTGTGCTGTGAATTTTGGGGTTGCACAGATTGCTCAGCGATCAAGAGAATGGACTGGCTGCCCTTGCAGAGGTGCCCTTGGTCAGCACCTGTTGGGGGGGGTTCACAACTGCCTGTTGGGACGTCAGTTCCTCTGGCCTCTGCAGATGCCTGTGCTCGTGTGTGTATAACACTACCCCTTACATATGTGTATACACACAATTTAAGATTAAAATAGTTTGTAAATAATGAAATTTAGTAATTTTCTTCTTCTTCTTTTTTTTTTTTTTTTTTTTTTGGTTTTTTTGAGACAGGGTTTCTCTGTGTAGCTCTGGCTGTCCTAGAACTTGCTCTGTAGACTAGGCTGGCCTCAGACTCAGAGTTCTGCCTGGTTCTGTTTCTTGGGTTCTGGGATTAAAGGCATACATCGCCACCTGACTTCAATTTTAGCAATTTTCTTTCTTCATTTCCCTCTCCTCCCCTTTCTGATACCCTTCTTCTTGGCAGTCTCCTTCCTACTTTCATGTCTTGGTGTTTGCCCTGTTGATTTTAATTAGGACTTTCTGCATGATGTGGGCAGAAGGTTATTTACTGGAATATGGACAGCCTACCAGTGGCTATACACTGAGGAAAGGGACCTGCTTTGTGTCTGTGTTTTAGTATAGACGTGTCTTGAAGTCTCTTCTGTGTTTTCTATACATGATATGTAAATATTTTCTCAGTCATTTTTTTCACCTTCTTGTTAAACACTTGACAGTAATTTGAGACAGTCCAACTGTCTTTAGTTAGGGTTTCCTCCAACTCTTCTTCCTCCTCCTCTTCTTGAGACAAGGTTTCTCTGTGTAGGTCTGGCTGTCCTGGAACTTGCTCTGTAGACCAGGCTGACCTCAAACTCCCAAGATCTACCTGCTTCTGCCTCCCGAGTGCTGGGATTAAAGGCAAGCACCACTACCGCCCAACTTTAGTTAGGGTTTCTATTGCTGTATGTAACACCACAACCAAAGCAAGTAGGAGAGGAAATGGTTCATTTGGCTTATGCTTCCACCTCATTATTCGTTGTTGAAGGAAGTCAGACAGGAACTCATCAAGCAGGGCAGGAACCTGGAGGCAGGAGCCAATGCAGAGGCTAAGGAGGAGTGCTTCATACTGGTTTGCTCTCATGGCTTGCTCAGCCTGCTTTCTTACAGAACCCAGTATCACCAGCCCAGGGATGGCTCCACCCATCAGGGCTCTCCAATGGGCCCTCTCCCATCAGTCACTAAATAATAAAATGCTCTGCAGGCTGGTCTATAGCCTGATCCTATGGAGGCATTTTTGTTTTGTTTTTCGAGACAGGGTTTCTCTGCGTAGCCTTGGCTGTCCTGGAACTCATTTTGTAGGCTGGCCTTGAACTCCCAGAGATCCCCTGCCACTGTCGTGCTGGTATTTTACGTGTGTGCTGTCACTGCCTGGCATATGGAGGTATTTTCTTAGCTGAGGTTCCTGCCTCTCTGATTTTCGCTTCTGTTAAGTTGACATAAAACCAGCCAGCATAGGGTATCACTGGGAGTTACTGCTAGAAGGGAGGGTTTCTTGTTGACTTGGGGTCAAGGGCAGCCTGGAAGTCAGCACTTCGCAGTGCTGAGCCTTCTGCTGGGGCTCATGTTCCCACATGTCTTGTAGGTGACGGTCTTGGTGCTCCAGGGCCGGCTGGATGAGGCACGACAAATGCTGTCCCAAGAGGCCGACGCCGACCCCTCTTCTGCAGGCGTGTGCCGCACCCTTGGGGAGCTGATGAGGACAATGCCCATTCTCAGCGTATGTGGGCGCTGCCTTGCCTGCCTGGTTGGGGGGGGTAGGGATCAGGGAGCATGTCGGTCTGGGCAGCTCAGAGTCTCACAGCCCGCCCCTGTCCCAGCCTGGCAACACGCAGACACTGACAGAGTTGGAGCTGAAGTGGCAGCACTGGCGCGAGGAGTGTGAGAGGCACTTGCAAGACAGCACATTTGCAGCCAGCCCCCGCCTGGAGTCTCTCTGCAAGGTGGGGTCCGGGCAGGGCTGGCGGGTCCGGGCAGGGCTGGCGGGTCCGGTCAGGGCTGGCGGGTCCGGTCAGGGCTGGCGGGTCCGGTCAGGGCTGGCGGGTCCGGTCAGGGCTGGCGGGTCCGGTCAGGGGTCCGGTCAGGGCTGGCAGGGTCCGGTCAGGGCTAGCGGGGTCCGGTCAGGGCTGGCGGGTCCGGTCAGGGCTGGCGGGGTCCGGTCAGGGCTGGCGGGTCCGG